GGTTTTTGGGGAGACCGAATCTGCTCCTCCCATAGGGCGCCTCACATGCACATCCTACCATGCACTGGGAACATTTCCCAATGCACCGTAGATCAACATGTGAGGCGCCCAAGTGTGAGTGTGAGGAGCAGGTTTTGGTGTTTCAAGGTGGGCCCTACATGAAAAACCAGTAAGTTATGTTTGGTGAAAGTCTTGAAATCTGATATCAACTCTTCGAATGCTGTTTTAACAACAGTAATAAGAAGCTACTCTACATAGCTTATCTAGACCTTTTATAAAAAAATAAAAAGAAAAAGAAAAAGAAAAAGAGCTTATATGGACCATGCTTGCTCAACCTTGGTGGCTTCTCTAAAACTGTTCCTCTAAAATGCAGAAGCCCTCCCAAACAGGGCCTAAAAACACCCATAAAGCGTAGTAATTATTCTAAGGCTTTTTAAAAGACTTAAACATCTTTACATAAATACTGAAACCTCCCTTAACCTAAGACCCAAGGAGCCAAGTTAAAAGTCGTCTTGAAGGTTATAAATAAAAAAAAAAAGGTGAAAGGTATTCTGATATATACCTGAAAGGGTAAATTTCTTAAACTACCTTTATGGTTTAGCTAATTGATTAAGTGCACCCTTACTGTTTGAAAATTGACTAACACTACCCCTACTATTTCTGACAATTGACTAAGTCTACCCTCACCATTAATTTTCCGTTACATATAATATCATGTGACTAATATATTGATAAAAATTCCAAAAACAACCTTCCCACCTCCTTTCCTAAAAATACCCTCTCTAGCTGTTGTTGGAGTAGTTTTTGCCCATCTTTGTACAAACAACATAGAAGCTTCTAGTTTAATTGAAATTTCAAAGCATATATGAAATGAATAAGCAACTCCCTCAATCATTGGTTGTGGGATAGGGAGAGAATGAGATAGGGAGAGAGAGAGAAATTCTCTTCTTCTTCTTCTCAACCACGACCTCGACATCCCTCGCTCATTTTCTTCTTTCTCCTTGCAAGACCTTCTCTTCAGTTTCTTGTGATCCCTCGTCGACGACGAACACGAGGAGATATCTATAGGGAGGGAGAGGGAAAGAAAGAATAAAGAAACAAACTCGAAATTCAAGAGAGAAGAACTAGAGGATAAAGAATCATGGACGAAAAAAACGCACCGGCCTTCTAACCAACTCTCCACGAAGACAATGAGAACAGTTTGAACAATGCTTCTTCCACCAATAAAGACCATGGCTGGCAGAAGGTTACCTACGTGAAACGCCAGTGAAAGAACAAACCCTCTGACTCCACCGACGATCCCGGCAAATTCTGCCCCAATGGAGTCGTCGTCATCGGCGACAACCCCAACGTTTTTCAGTCTCTCAAAGAACAATCCAAGGAGTGTCGCCGCCGTGTCAAGGCTCAGAAGGCAGCCACTACTACGGCTCTTTCCAAGCTCATTCCCAAACCGAAACACCATTCCGACGATGGTGGTGATGACAGTGATGGCGAGGTTGCTGGTGGTGGCGAGAATGTGGCCAATGAAGTGAAGAAGCTGAAGCAGAAAAAGCCCAAGAAGCCCAAGGTTACTGTTGCCGAGGTGGCTTCCAAGATCGATGCTTCCGATTTGGTAGCATACCTTCTGATGGGGAGACGCGAGGTGGCGAGAGAGAGTACCAAATTTGCCGCTACAAGTTGCAATGGTGGTGGTGGAACAGAGATAGTAAAAGAGGTGGGGAGAGAGAAATAACAAGAAAAGAGAGAATGAGAGATAGGGAAACGAGAGGTGGCGAGAGAGTACCAAATCTTCTGTTGCAAGTTGCAACGGCGGTGGCGGAACAGAGATAGTGAAAGAGGAGGGGAGAGAGAAAAAAGAGAGAAATATCGAGAAGAGAGAGAGAATGAGAGATAGGGAGACGAGAGGTGGCGAGAGAGTACCAAATCCACCACTACAACGGAGTGGTGAAACAGAGGAAGTGAAAGAGGAGAGAAAGAGAAAGAGAGATAAATAGCAAAAAGAGAGAGAGAATGAAACGAGAGGTGGCGAGAGAGAAGTATCAAATCCGCCGCTACAACTTGTAGTGGCGATGGTGAAACAAGTAAATGAAAGAGGAGGAGAGAGAAAGAGTGGGAAGAAAGAATGAAAGATAGAGAGACGAGAGGGAAAGAGAGGTGGCAAGAGAGAGAAGTACCACTTGCAAGTGGTGTTTGAAACAGATGCTTGCAGCAGTGGTGTCTGAAACAAAGGCTTCCAGCAGTAGTGTCTGAAATGGAGGAAGTGAAACAAAGTGAGAGAACCCCGACATGGCCTTCTACATTAGCTCGTTCATCTCTGGCTTGTTTCCATAGTACAAGGACACCGGCTCACTATTCCACTGCCTTGTGATGCAAAACATATACGACTTAGGATAGATACTCGTTAGTCACCAAGGTTTTTCCAATCTCCAACAGGGAATACTTGTGCTCTAAGGAACCATCAATAATTTGCTGGAGGTTTTCGGGGTCATCTATAGTTCCGACAATTCTGGCGAAGAGAATGAGAGGAAGACGGAGAGATCTGAATAGAAAGGTAAAATAGTCTTTTTTTATATCTCTGTTGACAGATGTTAATGACTAAGAAGGATTAGTCAATTGTCAAAAACAATAAGAATACTGTTAATCAATTTTCAATCAGTAAAAATACACTTAATCAATTAACTAAACAGTAAGGTAGTTTAAGAAATTTACCCTACTGAAACACTAGTATGAACAGGCAGATGTTATCGCTTGGTATGGGTTGTTGTTGCAGGGTAATTTCACCCAGAAAGGTTAGTTCCTGTTTCTGTTTTGAAATGATCTCGCTGTTATGAAAATTTAAAATTTTAATAAGTATAAAAAACTTTTTCTTTCAATTAGCGGTCTTAACCAATTTTAAAAAGAGAGGGGCAGGTTTCAATATTTAAGTTAAATTTGAAGAGAGGTTTAAATATTGTATTCTTTATTTTTTTTCGTTTTTCTAATGAGTGGAGACATTTAAAGCTTCAAAACATTAACTTTGTATTTTTCACTTTTTAGACAACATAGGAATCGTAGATTTTTCTTTTTCTTCCTTCTTTCCTTTATTTGGTTTTAAAGAGTGCTTTACCAAATAAGGAACCACGCATTCCCTCTATGGCCCGAGTTCAGATCTGCGCCCCACAAGGGGGCGCCCCCATGTGGGGTGCAGATGTGAACTCCTAGGGTTGAATATTTAAAAAAAATCGAAGGTATAATCGAACCATATATATATAAATATATTTATCATATATAATATATTATTTATTATTAAATAATAATATTATATATTTCTAGTTTTTTATTATAAATTTATACAATTTTTAATATATATTATAAATATAAAAAATTGAAAAATTGATGATTAACCGAACCGATCAACCGGTTGACTTCAATTCGATTTAAGTCACCGATTTTCCAAAAACCAATAATACTAGTTTGGTTTCAAAAATAGGCCCATGGTCGAATCATGAGCACCCCTAATGGTCTTGATCCCTAGTAGAGATGCACATCAACCCTTCACATAATAGGATTTATATTTTCTATTTGAAAAGAACACTAAAAAATAAAATAGAATTTATATCTTGGATCAATGATGTATTAGATTCGGACAAAGGCTATGTTTGGTTGTGTGGGTGTTTATGGAAAAAATGCCACCACATTAGTGCCACATAGGCGTTTGTGTTTATTGTGCATAGAACCATTGTTTGGTTTTAATGTTTATCAAATAAACATTAAAAACACAAAACACTTTGATTTATGTGCATGAAGCATTTGGGAAAATGTCAAATTCTTGTTTCCCCCAATGCCCCAACGTTTTCTTAAAATGAAATGCTTATGTCGCATACTTTATGGGGTGTTAATTTGAGGTGAAATGACTTTATGGGATATTACCTGAAACATGAAACACTCGTGAAATGCCCAACCAAACAACAAAAACAATAAATGTTTAAAGTAGAATCAAACATATACCAAATTTAAAATTGTTTTACTTCATGTAATGGATCAAATGGTACCATTATTTGGTTCAACTTAGCCGCTATATGAGAGTGCTTATTAGATAATAATTACTTGTAATGTTAAGGTGCTGTTTGGAACCGTGGTCATTTATTGAATAAATGCTCCCACATAGGTGCCGCTTCATCATTTCTCCATTATATGGATCCGTACGCATAGAGAATTGCAAAATTAGGCCCTGATTTATATACGTGCCTATCATTGGGAGAAGCTTCATTTTAGCATTTTCCCCAATGGGTAAGTATTTATTCACTGTGTTTTGCTGATGTGGTGTTTAATGACACCTAAGTGTCAATAAATGGGTTCATTATTGATTTTTTAGGTTTTTAAAAACTTTTAGCAAATAAAATCCCACCATTCCAAACACACAAGTGTTTATAAATATTTGGTGCAGACATGCTTATTTTGAATAGATAGTATAGCCGTATAGGTGTTTTGAAATTATGTGGGCTTTTTTTCCCCAAAATCACATGATATAAGTGATTATTGATATGGTCTCATACACTAGGTGTACAATAAATGCTAAAAGATAATCACTTCCAAACGGGTGTTAATTTATAAAAGTTATAAGTTAAACATGATACAAAGATTGCTGTGATGTTAAAAAAAAAATTGAAGTGGTGAAATGATGTAAAGAAAAAAGAGGTAAGATACCCACAAGGTCAAATCTTTTGAGAGAGATCCCACTTTCCAGCTCTGCACGTGCGCCACGTGCGATAAAGAAGCCATGCTTTAAAAGGGGCTTAAGTTTGTAGCTTGTAAGTTGCAACGAAAGCAGCAGCAATAGCATTAGGATGTGGATACATCATACATATGGGTTCCTTTTCTCGGTTTTGAAAATTGAAAGCAAAAGGGAAGACCAAATGGAAATGTGGAATGGCACTGTTATCACCCACACCCAGAAGTCCAGAACCAGAAGGCTCCGGCCTCCGAGGCTGGCGGGTGGCTTTACTGCTTTAGGCTTTAGTGAGAGACTTTACAAAGTTGCTCTTTACCGTTTTTACATAAAAAGGCTTTATCGCTTTGCTTTCTTGAAGCTTCCTCTGCTCTTTTCGGAAGTTTCGCTTCTCCTAAAGTCCTCAACCTCAACCACCGCTCCTCTCCTCTGCTTTTTTATACGCAAATATACTAACTGGTTTATCAGGTACCGTAAAACCTACATACGTACTACTCCAGCCTTCTCTCTCCCCCATCCACATCTCTCTCCCTCATCCTATATATTCCTTCTGAGGCTCTGACTCGCGAAGAATGCCCTCACATGACCGGCCTGCAACCACGTATACGACTCCATAAAAATATAGCGACGAAACAACAAAAATAAAAGCAGCACCCTCTCTCTCTCTCTCTCCTGTTAAAAGCTTGCGCTCTCTGCTCCCCTGTCACACCATTTTCAGTACTGCCAGCGCCATTAAACAGAACTCTTTTTCCCCTCTTCTCCTTTTTACCAATTCTTTCTCAAGCCCTAAAACCCAACCAAACCCTCCAGTCATTACCTCTCTTTTTGCTCTGGCTCTCCCAACCATGGAAGCTTTCAGCCTGCTCAAGTACTGGAGAGGTGGAGGTGGTGGTGGCTTGGCAAACAGCGGAGCCCCCGCCTCTGCTAATGTACGCGCGCCTGCGGCCGTTACTACTATTGACACCACCGTACGACAGGAAACCGACGAAGGCGATGACGACGAAGGGCCCTTCTTTGACTTGGAATTTACGGTGCCTGATGACGACGATGGGGAAGGCGGCGGAGATGACCGCGACAACCACGACGAAGATGACAGCAATAACGGAGATGGCGACGAAGATGACAGTGACTCGGCAGCAACCGATGGAGAGAGGGAGTTCAATTTCACGGTATCTTCTGCCTCCAGCGACGATCGAACGGACCCGAATCTCTCCTTGTCACCCTCTGATGATCTCTTCTTCAAAGGAAAGCTCGTGCCGCTCGAGTCCTCCTCTATCGTCTTCAATCCTTCTGAGCCAAACTCCAAACATCAGTTCCCTGTCTCGTTGCTGAAATCTGCTACCAAGTTCCGCGTCTTCATGTTAGGCTTTAAGAAACCAAAATCCACGACGGCAGCAGAGAAGGCGGACACAAATGGTGCCGCTGCGACTTCCCCGAAGAAACATCAACAGCCGCAACAGAAGCAGCAGCAGGATAATCATCATCATCATCATCATCATCACGGCAAACTTTTTACTGTGAAATTCAAGGTCGAAGAAGTCCCGATTGTCTCTCTCTTCACTAGAGACAACAGTTCCAGAAACTCTAGTAATAAGCAACAGAAACAGAATGGGGACGAGACAGTCACGGTCACGGATGATAAGCGGTTTTCGAAGGATGTAGTGCATAAGTATCTTAAGATGATCAAGCCATTATATATCAGGGCTTCGAGGAGGTACGGGGAGAAGATGAGGTTCCCTGGACATCAGAGTTTGGGATTGGGAAAGGCGGCATCGCCACCGGCGGCAGCTGCCGCGACGACGGAAACACTGGCATCCTCTCCCACAAAAACGAAGAGCAACCTTGGGGGAGAAGCAGGGGACAACGATGCACCTACGAGTAATGTCAAGCTCCTGAACCATAAGCAAGGGAATCTACCGGCGGGATTGCGAGTGGTTTGTAAACATCTAGGCAAGAGCCGGTCGGCATCTTCTGCGGTGGCAGCGGTGCAGCCGGTGGGTTTTCAGGCAAGAAGACGCGATGATTCACTGCTGCAGCAGCAGGACGGGATCCAGAGCGCCATTCTTCACTGCAAGAGGTCGTTTAATGCTTCCATAGGTATAGATCTGGTCTCACTATAATTTCCTTATTTCAGATTTACCATAGAACACGTTTCAACTGTTCTGTCTGTAGTTCAAGTCTGTTAATTCAATTCTGATATTCTCTTCCCCAGATTCAGAGACTTCTCTTCTGTCGCGGTGTGCGAGTGATCCTTCTCACGAAATGTCTATTTGTTCGTCGAGAAATTCTTCCGAGGGTGGAAATGACGATCGGAGGCGAAGCCCCGCTTAACATCTTAGGTCGAGAAAGAGAGAGGCGGGAAGTTGTCTAGGCTCTGTTTTCTTTCTTTCTTTTTTTTTGTTTAAAAATTTTGTAAAAAAAAGGAAAATGAATTATTAATGAGCGATGGTTGTTTTGATGGAGTAGGTGGAGATGTAGGTCAGTCACAGTAGCCACTACTCACCACTTCACCAGTTTCTTCAACTTCATGTAAATAAGCCATCTGTCTGTGAAGATAATTATTTCTTCTGATCTGTGCAAGCAGAGGCAGAGAGAGTAGTAGTATTCGAACCAGATGAGATCTTAATTCTTAACGCCTAAGATTTTAAACAGAAAAGTAGAATTATGTATTAATAATAAATCCACTAAAGCAATCTGCAATATTTTCTTTTTAGTTTTTCCCGCTCTGCGAATCAACGGTAGGACAAAATGCTGTCTTATGCGGTCAGCGAAGAGAGAAAGTAGAGACAAAGATGGGAACAGTGAAAAGCTTTGAAATTCATACTTCATTGATGGAAAGAGAGAAGAAAAGGAAACACATTAAAGTAAGGGGGTTACTGGTTAGTGGCGAGTGACCATTCTTTTTCTTTAATCTTTGTCTTATTACTACCTTGGTTGTCGTGAAGTTACAGATGTTGACGCTTACCATCTCTTTCTCTCTCATCTTGACGTGAAAGTACGTCGGAGATGCAATTTGTCTCCCTCTTATTTGTCTAACTAGGAGGATACCGGTATTAAGTATTGAGTTACGGGTTAAAACTTGTTAGAAATGTATACTACCGGTGGCGGTGAACATACGATTGAGAATGGCCCCATTTCTGATCAACGTGGGTCGCAAACTTGGAGAACCGGTGGGAATGGATCTCATGGTCTGGAGAAAGTGGGCCATGCTACAGTAAAATGACAGTAACTAACCGTTTGATTCCGCTCACGAAGAGCATCATCAGAGAGAGAGAGAGAGAGAGAGATTGGATGAAAGATAAATTTAATTAGGGGTAGAAATGTGATTTAAATGTAGGGGGATTTTACAGTTTACATGGGGAGAGAGGACAAGGGGAGATGGGAATGGGATGCTCAGATGCTGGTGTGGTGTGTGCAACTCTGTTGTAATTTGGAACGGAGAAAGAGGATAGGGCAACTGGGCAAGGTTCAAGGTTGGTTTGTACTTTGTACTTGGTAGAGTAGAAAGTCGAAACACACCGTTCCAGCTTTCATCTCTGCAATTGAAATAAATAAATGAATTTGTGTTGCGTGGGCATCGATAAATGTAAGTTAATTGGAACATTGTCCAGTGCCCAGCATCGGTTCGTCCGCCGTGGAGAGTGGAACCGGAGAGGAAATCCTTGCAAGGTGCAGCCATTGTTTTAAGTTGTTCTCGAGCTACGGGAAATTTACTTTTGTTTAGAACTACTGAATTGTGGTGAGGTGAGGTGTAGGTGTTGGGGGTTGACGTCTGTGATTAAGCAAAAGATGAACATGGCGACACCGGGTCATTCAAAGCCATCAAATCAAACTTCACAAGAAGACTGGGTCTGGGTCACTACTAACACAACAAAAAACACTGTGTAGTGTGCTCTGTACTAGCCATCAGTTGCTTGCCAAATTTTAATCTGTCATTAAAAACGTGAGAAAGAAGCAAAACACCCACATGCTGGTAACAATAATATTACAATTACAAAGTTGAGAAGGCAAAATCTTGATAAGTTTGGCTTGACCCCCATTTAATTAATTAATTAATTAATGTCCCGACTGAATTGAAAATTTGGTTCTGGATGAGCAATTTGTCAAGGTTGGGGCCAACCAAATACTTAAGCAATATCGCGTGACCCCACATGTCCCGTTTACATTTTTGTAACCAACAACCCACCCAACAGGTCTAAGGTTTGATTTCAACGATGTTCGTCAGCTTGCAATAACTCCCATCTGACACCAATCCATTGATTATAGTCTACAAGGGACTGGGAGTGGGGACCCACCCTTAATCCCTTGCCTTGCGTCGGAGGTCATGGAGATGGTCTATGGGAGTTACCACTTACCAGCTAAGCTATAATCTATCCCCTTTTTTCTTCTTTTATTTATTTTTTTTTCCCTTTTAAAGCAGCGCACGTCAGGTTTGAGACAATCAAGGCCATCCACTGGATGGACCATCCCACAATTTCGTCGGAGATTGATCACTCAATCTAAACCATCCAATCATATGATGCTGATGGTCATATAATCATCACCCATTTAGGCATTTACCTCTGCCCCCGACTCTCCACGTGGCAGCTAATAGTACGCTGCTGAGGATTGAATATTGTCTAGACAACTAGACCTCGAGAAAACTGCAATGGTTAAACAAAAGCGAAAAAAGATTTCTTTTCTTCACATTGTTTTTTTTTTTTTTTTTTTTGTTTAATAAAAAAATTATCCTAACACTCTTTAGTATTGATATTGATATTGACTATTGAAATTGTTATATTAAATTAAGGAAAAAGAATGCAAGGTCCAAACATGTCGTTATCCAGTTATGCCAAATGTTGTGAGTTAACGGACAAATACACAAGTGAAAAGTCTATGTATGACTGCTTTCTATGACGTTGGGACTGGAGAAATAGATAAATAAAAAGAAAAAAGAGAACAACAAATTAAAAAAGGAGAAATGGGGTTCATGCACTGTTGTACACTGTGCACATGACATGAGAATATGAGATGAGAGCGTTTTTCTGGGGGTGGGGACCAGGGAAGAAGGGAAGAAGCTAGGGATGGGATGAATGCATGCATGCATTAGGAGAATGGTGACACCATATACAGATGTCTCCGACATCACATCTCCTTCCGAGGACCGTAGATTTTCCCTGTTTCCGGTGTTGATCATGTCTCATTTCCATGCCCTCTACCCTCTATTATGTAAATTCGGGTGAGTAAAGACTAAAGAATATGTTGTATTACAGTCAACTCCATTCAGGTCGTCCATCATTGACTTTGGGAGTCCACAATGACTCCACATCTCACATCTGAGATTGCGATTAATATTTAAAATTGAAATCCTGCTGTAATTGGTTTTTTTCTTTTCCAAGAAGAAGAAGAAGAGGTGGATCATTAAAGTTGGATCGGGCGACATTTTAAGTCCAGTCCAAATGAGCCTAGCTATGTTGGGTTGGGCCATTTCACGGATCACAAATGACAGTTCACAGTTGTACTCACTCCCATTTAATGTAATCACGTGGGCTGCTACGATCTAATCTAACTCTTTACTTAACTTTGTGAGTAGTAGAATAAATAATGTGAAAGCCACAAGTTCTACTTCCACTACATGACCCTCTCATTCACTAAAATGAAAATCAGAATCAAGCTAGTGTTAATTTTGACTTGTATGTTTGTTTAACTCTGTTGATATATTTCTAATGTTACGCAACGCACACATGTGCCCCACGAGTTGATTTGGGTAATGGGTACATGTGAACGGCCTAATCCCGATTATCATAGCATAGGGTCCTAGAATCAGACCTAGAAGCTAGAACCGACCCACTGGGGCAAGGGGGTTGGACCGTTTTGGGTGTATGCACGTATGACACCACATCCTTTCAAATCTGTGACAAGTGAAGGGTGCAATTGAAGTTACGAGCACTCAGTTCGGGCCTTTTGTTCAGTTTCATTCAAAACTTAACAAAGCCCAAACTCAAATTCATCCAAGTGTTACTGTGCACGGGAGGAAACACCTGTCACACAGACTTCATTGAAGTTAGCAATTTTAGCAGATGTGATACTGCCATTTTAAGGGTCGGGAATATAATAATGACAATTTTTAATAGTAAATTATTAAAATATCTCTAAATTTAATATACATCTTTAAAATATCCTTTGAATCTCATATTCCTAAAATCTTAAATATCCTATAATTGCATTTATAAAATACCCTTCAATTTCTAAAATAATCCATATGTGGTGTTTGGTTGCAATGCAAATTTATTTGCAGGTAGTGTAAATAATTTGAATGCTTATTTTGATTTATTTTTGTTTTAAATTTTATCTTATTTTCTTTTACTATAATAAAATAAAATAAAACCTAAAGTAGAATAAAGTAAAATCCAAAATATAATTAAACTGGATTTTGCATTTTTACTCATTTTCAGTCCTATACCTTTGTATTACTGCAAATAAAATTGCACCGCAAGCAAAATCCGCCTAAAATTTAACATATCTTTAAGTGAATTTCTTGGGGCCGGGAAAATTTGGAATTCCCAACATAAATTGCTAATTGCTAGGTAAATACATTGTACATACAGATATATGTTTCCAATGTTACAATTTAAGGTGCAGCCAATATCAATTGTAATAATGGTTCAAAATTGGACTGGATGGTCGGATCTGAAAAATCAGGAACCAATCACTTGATCCATTCTATTTTACCATAGAACTGTTTTTTTTACTAAAAATTGTTGATTCAGTCAATAAAATCGCTGATTGGGGTGATCATACCATTTGAACCGTCCAATAGTTTTTAGTTATTTTTTATTTTTTAATATATTTATTTTTTTTTTGTCAGAACGACCTATTAGAACGATCAAACTGCGAACCAAACCCTTAAACGATTCGTTGTCCGATTCGATTTAAAAACATTGATTGTAACACCCCGTCCCCGCTCAATACATGGACGAGGGATGTCCGACATCATTTGTTGCTTCCGATGAAGGTAGATTTTCTCTGTTTCCGGTTCCATTCATTCTCACTGCGTGTAAAAGTTTTCTGTGTTTTTCTTTTACCGGTTTGAGTCCAACACACACTAGCATACCATGAGGATTGACGATTGAGGAGGCGCATTTTAACGATTATTATGTTAGGTGAAGCGAATAGTGATGTGATTTTTGTGTTTAATGATGAGATGTAGGTTTTGTATTTAATTGACTTGGGAGTTTCATTTTGGTGGCACTGGATTCAATACAGCTGTCTGTATCTGCATCTGCATGTGCAATTTCATTATCTCTGTCTCAAGAAAATTGAAAAAAGGAATAAGTCGGTGAGAGTTTTGTTGAAATTGGAGGGTGGAATGTTGCTTGAGGCAAGGTTGTTGGGACCCAAAAGGAAAGGGGTTAAGGGTCCCATGTGCTTTTCTTGTCCCTCTCTATTCAGTATTCACAGGGCAGGTTATAACTCCAAAACAATGGGATCTGTAATCTGTTTCACTTACCATCCACTTGTATTTATGTTCATGGGAATGGGCCACCTGTCACACATTGAATGGAAATACATCGTATCTTAACATGTTTTTTTGCTGGCAACAGATTTTATATCCAAAAGGTTTAAAAAATCGTTATGTATCGGCTC